TCAACTCGGCTCAGTTGATAGCACTCTTCTCTGGGTCAGATGATTCTGAGTTCAAGACCTATGTCAGGACTCATGCTCATAGACCAAGACGATACATCAGTGCAGAACTGGGTGGAACTCTGCAATGTCAGATGACATTGAAACACATTAACACAAAACACGTTTGTCTGTTCAGGTAAACAATAAAGATTCCATTGCATTATTGAAACAAAGATAAAGAAAGTTTTTCTAAGTGTTCTAGCTTAAAATCATACAGATAAATTGGTCACTCACTTTGTGTCTGTTTGTCGGACTTTGGTGTACGCAGATTGCTGCCATATTTGCCTACAAAACCAGTAATTATACTTGACAACAATTGCTTGTGAAGCACCTTTGAGCTATTTTGATGTTATAGATGCGATATCAAATGCAAAATTCTATCTAATAAGAAAAACTCTTTCCAATTTTCTGCCTGCGCATTTCATATTCTGTTTCAAATTTCCTTTTATTTCCTTGAATATTTGTAAGTGTCGAGTCTAAAGCAACTGAAATTCACACCTACCGCAAATACAATTATATTTTGCTGTCTACACAATACACAGTCACTACACTTTACAGGACATCCTGTAAAGCATTAGGTGACATCTTCCCAACATGAAAGATGCGATATCAAATGTAAGGATTATAAAAATAATAATCCTTGCATTTGATATAGCGCCTTATCATGTCATCGAGACCTCTCAAAGTGCTTCACAGAATTTACTGTAAAGTGAATTGATTGTGTATTTTGTGGGCGAAATGTGGCATTCAATTGTACACAGCAATGTCCCACAAACAGTCATGGATTGAGTGACAGAACTATTAAAAAAATTAAGGGATTATTACCTCCAGAAAAGCAATCTGCCAAACAACTCACAACCGGGTTCCTACTTACTGCTAGGTAAACAGAGCCGTGTGGAGTAAGGAAATTTGCCTAATGTTCCACCCTGCCCGGGAATTGAACCCAAGTCTTCTTGTTTCCAAGGTGAGTGCTCTAACCAATTTCATCCTAATATTACCTCGGTGATATTCCAATCTAAAGGGAAAAAAATATGTTGCCTTAGGAATGTAATGTTAGCAGCCATCGTTGGCACTTTCACTCGGCGTCCAACTGGTAACTCAAAACCAGATCCATTCTAAGCATAATCTCTAATATAGAAACTCCAATACAAGCCATGGCTGAAGATTCAATGTACCATGAGAGGTCTATCGTAGTACATCATTAGAGAGGACTGTCACTAAAATTATGGAAAATATACCTTTGCAATTCAAAACCTTAAATTGGGCTTTTACAATACACATTTATAATTAGAGTGTTTTTCACATTGGTAATGTCCCAAGGCGCTTAACATGAATGGCTTGGGATCCATGCTGGGGATGGGAATCAAATGGGGTGGGGAGAAGGAAGATGACCAAAAGAGTCTTCAAAAAGGTAAGTCTTGAGGTGGAACCTGAATAAGGTGAGGCAGGTAACAAGTGGGAGGAAAACCGGGATTCATTTCCAGAAAGTGGGTGCAGACAGGCCAAAAGCTCATCCACCGATGCTGGGATGGGTAAGGTGGAGGACGTGAAGCAGGCCCGTTGCACAAAGTAAGTTAGTGGGGTTTGGGGATGTCGCAGGGGATAGGTGGGGCGAGACTATGGAGGGATTTAAAGGTGAGAACATGGATCTTGAACTCAATCTGTGCATGGCGGGGGAGGAGGGTATTCCAATGGAGCCGGGCAAGGATGGGGTCAGGTGAGGTGTAAGTTCTTGAGAATAGCGAAGGAAAGGACTCTGGAGTTCTGGACTGTCTGCAGCTTATGTAGGAAGGAGCTGAGCTGAGCATTGGTATAATGGATGTGATCTCAAATGATTTCTGATTATAGTTGATACAACTTTAATTTTCACTGGAGTTAACTCACATTTATAAAAACAATGTAAATATTCCAAACAGCAAGGCATACATAATCTCATTTGTTGCCCATATAATTCTTATGAAAAAAATTCAATCTATAAGTTTTTTTTGAAGAATTGAGTTATTTCAAAGAAACTTGCTAAAATCTATTTTCAGTTTGTGTTTGCTAGAAACCACATTTTACATCAACTTTCATTCAACGATTCAAGGTTTTCCAAAACCTTGGTTAATAATAATAATAATAATAATAATCCTTGCATTTGATATAGCGCTTTTCACGTCGGGAGGACGTCCCAAAGCGCTTCACAGAATACACTGTAAAGTGAATTGACTGTATATTTGTGGGCGAACGCGGCAGCCAATTGCGCACAGCAATGTCCCACAAACAGTCGTAGATTGAAAATGACCAATTTAATTATTGTTTTTTTTTTTTTGGAGGGATTATTATTAGGCGTGTGGAGTAAGGAAACTTGCCCAAGGTTTCGCCCTCTGCCTGGAATTGAACTCAGGTCTCTCACTTGCAAAGCGAGTGCTCTAACCACTGAGCTACAGGACTCCACAGGTTGTTTTAATGTTCAAATATATTTCTGAAACATATTTCTGAAATATATTTCTGAGAGGAAAGAGTTATTTTTATAGCCCTTCGAACGTCGAAACATCTCAATGAGCTTTAGATTGGCTGCATGTTTGCCTATATAAAACATTTTCATTTCTAATTGAATATATTTCATGAATCATTTTGTGCTCTTAAATGCAAGTTATTACAGTAATTCTGCAGTGACTTTTTGTCTTCAAGAGGGAACTAGACAAATACCTTTAATAGAGTCAGTTATGTACAAAGGGCAGGTAAATGGGACTGAAAGGATTGCTTTTGAGGGAGTCAGCACAGACATGATGGTCCAAATTGTTTTCTTCGTTGTTGCAAATTTCTATGGTTCTACCAGTTTTATGAATTGGGGAGCTGGGAGAGACTGTCGTGGCGAGCACTGAAGAAATTGAGGCAGGGGTGACGAACATATGGATAAGGGTTTCAGCTGTGTTGAGTGTGAATATGGTTGGGGGGAGGGGCAGCAAAGTGGTGGAGGTAACAGTCCTGGTTAGGGCCGGAGGTGTGGAAGGACAACTGAGGATTGAACCCGAAGTCTAGATTACGCACAGGTACAGCGAGATAGGCCGGGGAGGTTAAAGAAGTCGGAGCCCCAAGTAAAAAGACATTGACAGGAGCCAAGGAGAATGGCTTTCAAAACACAAAATACTGCAGATGCTGGAAATCTGAAACAAGAATAGAAGTCGCTGGGAACCCTCAGCGGGTCAGGCAGCATCTATGGAGAAAGGAAAGTGAGTCAATGTTTCAGGTCCACGACCCTTCGTCAGAACTCAAGATACAATCTATTTTGTTCTCAGCAACTGTTTTTGTTTGAGGATGGCTTCCATCTTGTCAACATTCAGCTGCAGAAATGTTGGCATTGATGTCTGACAAGCACGCACGGTGGGGTCACGACTAGAGGAGGAATTTGAGGACAGGGGTGATGACAGCAGTTTTGCGAGGGGCTGGAGTTAAAGTTACATATAGTTACATAGTAACATAGTTATGGATAGAGAGAAGATCCTAAAATGTTCACCATCCTCAATGGGAAAGTAGAGGAGTAGCCATGAGCAGATGGGATGTGAGGGCAAGAGTCCAAATGTTACAGTTCAGTCATCAGTCCTTGGGTGATGTGGCTTTCCATCCTGTTATATTTTGTTGCTCATTTTTCATGCTGTCGCCATTTAACAAACAAGTCTTCATATTCCATATTGGCATTTACAATTTTACAGAATAATCCACACGAAATAAATCCACACAAATACATGTTGAGTTTACTGATTAAAATCCTTATCTGGTCTCAATTACCCAACGTAATTAATTTGTTTTTATTCTAAATGTCAATGCTTTCACCTATCCACAACTCGAGTCCACCTCCAGATCAAATTTTATTTATGTGCCACTTCAGTGTTCTATGCCTGCAACTAGTCCTGCAGAAAAACAATAGTTAAATCGAACCAGACTGAAAACTGGACTTGCCGCTATGTACAATCCATGTAGGTTTGAAGGTCTGCATATTTATGTGAAAATTATTTGATTGTCACATGCCAGTAATAGATTAACTACCTTACAATATTTTATTTACTGTCTGATACCTAGGCATTCAATTCTTGAAAGAAACAAACACCACACAAAAAACAACTAAAATATAAAACCTAAAATGTAACATGTAAATCAATTCCTCATTAGGTATCTTTGGGCATTCAGTTGTTTAAATCATTTCCATGAATTACAATGCAATTCATCCCCCTTTGGGAGTCGCATAAAAAAGCATTAGAAAATACTGAGAGCGTTGTCTAGTTTTACAACGAGGGAACGACAAGCTGTGTGCGTGGTCGCAGCCAAGTGTTTGGTGCTGCAATGAATGAACAAAAAAAAACCTCCACAGTAATACAACACAGTTGGGATTTGAGATATCACCACCACCACCTTATAGTATACAGCACCCGCTCAGGCGGGTGGTGTCCATGTGCGCTTTTATCCTTTTATATCCTTTTTTAAAGTCCAATATCGGAGTAATGTTTCTAAATACTACTGAGGACAAGGGAGAAGCCGAAGTACTGTGTCTATTTTGGGTATTTATTTACTATAAGTGCACAATAGTGTTCAGTTAATCTTGCCGACCCTTCCCAATGCGATGTTCAAATAACTAGGAAGATTTGTTTTTAAGTTTATTGCATCCAATTCAAACAAAGATCCCAAGTTAAAATGTGATACAATCGATTTTACTGCACAAGCCATTGCAATGAGAAGATGAAATGCATAGTCTGCTAAAGTGACTGACAAGACATTAGGAAATCTGCAAGCCAGGCAACCAGCTACAATAAACGAGCAATGAAGGTTTATAATACATCCATTAGTTGATTAACACATGTATAGGAATATTGGACAAAAGGGTATTGAGGTATCAGATATTTAAATGGCAATGCCAACCAACTGACAAACAATAGGCGAGGTTTATTTTGTGTTGAGCATCACGCAGCACTCCCACTCCTTACCCAAGCCTCCCTGCTCGATGGTAATGACAATCTCATCCATTAAGACCATACGGAACTCCACCTCCTCCTCCTCGGCGCACTTCTGCCGGAGCGCGCGCTCGATCTCCTGCTGCGGATAGTCCCGCAGGATCCTGCGATCGGTCACGAACCACACTCGGGCAGACATGGCCGGGCTGAGCCGAGAGCTGGGGCGGCGGCGGGGGGAGCCCGGAGTGCGGGGGCAGGCAGGAGGCGGCCCGTGTCCCGGGGATGGATGACCAGGCGGCTCTCACACACTGATGTGGATGGGCCCGGGGGCGGAAGCCGTCAAGCGGGAGCGGGAGAGCGGGAGAGCGGGCGGCAGTGAGGGGCGGCAGTTAATTACACGGACAAAGGGAGAGCTCCCGGTTTGTGCCCTGTGCCCTCACACCATGAGAGGCTCGGGGCGGGCGGGGGGGGGGCGGCGGGCTGCCTGCCGCGGGCGGGCGGGCGGGCGGGCGGGTGGCGGTTGGGCTGTGGCTCCTCACGAATACACACAGGGCGGCGGCAATGGCGGCGCGAGGCGAGGGCAGTGCGCACGCGCTGAGCGGGCGGCGGCCACGCTGTGAGGGCGGGGTCTCCAGCGCGTGCGCTCAGCCTCGCTCCGGCAGCACAGACTTCCCGCCGCCGCGCGGCGGCTCTCCCCTCTCCCCGCGCGTGGCCGGAGGGCGTGGCCGGAGGGCGTGGCCGGAGGGCGTGGCCGGAGGGCGTGGCCGGAGGGCGTGGCCGGAGGGCGGGGCCGGAGGGCGGGGCGGCGGCGGCGGCTGAGACGTGTGGAAACCCATCAGCTCAACAGTCTCCCTTCGCGCCCAGTGGTCCGCGCCTTCCCACCTGTGACAGCAATGATCGTGACATTTGATGCAGAGCCTTATCATTGTCTTCAAGATGTCACAAAGCGCTTCACAGACTATACTGTGAGGTGAATGGAGTGTATTTTATGGGCGAAATGAAAATCCCAGAGATTGTTTGAATGGAATGCGCACTCTCTCACTGTCTCCCCCCCCCCCGGAGGGACGAAGCCTTCTTATCTAATTCCAGGAAGTATCAGGGAAGGTGCGGCATATTGTCGCAAGGGCTGCAGCCCAGTGCCCCAGATTTTAAGTCCCCTGTACCCCCCACAAAAAATAGTGAGTGGCGAAGACAGGGGTGTATGAGGTGCCTTATTATGTAAATTCCCTGCTTATTGGGCACTCCCAACTCTTCACAACTGCACTGGTGTTCTCTCCCTCACTATACTCCGTGACCCTATCACTCCCATCCTCGCCCAGCTCCATTGGCTCCTCATCACCCAGAGGAGCCTCCACTTTGCCAGCTAAAGGCTTCAGTTGTTCAAGGAATATCCCAAGTATTTAGTTTTAGATTTCCCAAGGGTGCACTTGTTGGGATTCGCTGTTAGGTGAGCTGCCTTTAGGGAATCCAGAACCACAGCCACCTGGGACAGATGACAATCTCAGTTGAGCTATAGATCACAATGTCATCTAAATAGTCTGAGTTGCTGGAAGGTTGCTGGAGCTCCATGGAGTCCAAAAGTCATTATAGTGAAGTGGTATAGCCCATTTGTCAATACCCTTTGATTAACTACAGCTTTGAAATAAATTTGGCAGACCCAATTAGTCCTACAACTCATCCGCCTGGGGAATCAGATGCGCATCGAATTTTGAAAGTCCAAAAGGACAGTTCCATGCGGTTTGGGCATTATGAGAATTGGGCTACACCACTCACTTTTGGCTTCCTGTGATTCCCAGCTCTAGCATGCCTTGCAGCTCCTATCTCACTGTATTCCTCCTTGCTTCCGGGTTCTGGTAAGGAAGGGACATCACCAGCATGCCTGGTTCGGTGCCTACCACATTAACCAGGACCCAAAAAGCAATGGTAGATACTGAACTATGTGTGCCTTTAGCCCCTGGTTAAATTTTCCCCCATGGACACTGATACGGAGGAGTTCGAGACTGGCCTTTGGGGTCCAAAATCTACTGCCAGTTCTATGGGATGTTCAAACAGGTTATTACACGTTATTTACGTGATAAATCGTTTTTGTTTTCTTTTCCCCAGCTAATAGATTTCATAATCTACCCTTCCAATAAGACATACTGTTTTGAAGAGCCCTACCATTTAGCCACTAATTACTTTCTGAGGACGGGAGTAAGAGCAGCACCCTACCTCTTGGGTAGTACTCACATAACCAAGCCCCCTGATTAGAAGGCCTGCTGTGCGTTCAGCAGGTTTTTATTAGTTAATTCCACAGTAATATCCAGCGTTTCTTCCTAGCTCTAGGATGTACTGCAAGACATTTTTTGTGTGGTTAGGTTGTTCTTCACATATTTCCTTAACCATATTGAGTATTCCCCGTGATTGTCTGCCATACAAGAGTTCAAAAGAGGAAAAGCCTCGAATTCAAGATCCACATCCTCACCTACAAGGCCATTCACGGCCTCGCTCCCTCCTACCTCTCCGACCTACTATCCCCCTACTTACCTGCCCATACCCTCCGTTCCTCTGGCTCCGGTCTGCTCCACATCCCCCGCCCCAACCACCCTACCATCGGTCGCCGGACCTTCAGCGTCTCAGCCCCGAGGCTCTGGAACTCCATTCCCCCAGTGCCTTCACCGCTTCCTCCCTTTCCTCCTTCAAGGCTGGTCTCAAGACCTTTCTCTTTGACCATGCCTTCAGCTCCCTTCTCGACTCTCTACCCCCTCCTCACTCTCTCCCTTCCCTCCCCTCACCCTGACCATTTCCCCCCTCCTCACTCCCTCCCTTCCCTCCCCCTGACCATTTTCCCCCCCAAGGCTCGTGTCCTGACCCAACTGTCCAGCGCCTTGGGACGTCCTCCCGACGTGAAAGGCGCTCTATAAATGGAATCTTGTTGTTGTTGTTGAAGCCTAGGGAACCTGCCGCCTAGTGAATAGAAAGGGGAGGAGCTTGTCCCAGGCTTGATTTTCCGACAGTTACAAATTTCCGAAGCACCCCTTTAAGGGTTCTTTTGAACCGTTCAACCAGCCCATCTGTGGATGGCAGATCAAGTTCGAATGGTGGTTATTTTAAGCTCCTTAAGAATGGACTGTAGGAGATCAGACATGAAATTTGTTCCCTGGTCCATCAGGATTTCCCGCAGGATTCTTTCTCTAGAGAACAGTTTGATTAATTCTGTAGCCACCACAAAGGGACAGCCTCTAGATAGCGGGTAGCATCATCCATAAATAATAAACAATTTCCCTAAGAGGAGTGCCCCAATTCGTTCAAAAGGGGTATCAATGATTGGTAAGAGCACGTCTTGTGATCCGCTGGTTCGGTCAGCTGGTAATAGGGACAGGGTGAACAGAATTTTCATATGGCCGCACATATACTCTGCCAATAAAAGCGGGACATAATTTAGTCCTCCCGACGTGAAAGGCACTCTATAAATGGAATCTTGTTGTTGTTGATGTTAGTCTCATCTTGACCCAAGTGGCCAGCTCAGGGAATAGGAGTGTGTCAGTTGCTTTACCTTACCTTTGAATACCGGAGGCACTAGGATTTAATAATAAATAATCCTTGCATGTGATATATTTTGGAGTCCTGTAGCTCAGTGGTTAGAGCACTCGCTTTGCAAGTGAGAGACCTGAGTTCACTTCCAGGCAGAGGGCGAAACCTTGGGCAAGTTTCCTTACTCCACACAGAGCCTAATAATAATCCCTCAAAAACCAAAAACAATAATAAATTGGTCATTTTCAACCTACGACTGTTTGTGGGACATTGCTGTGCGCAATTGGCTGCCGCGTTCGCCCACAAATATACAGTCAATTCACTTTACAGTGTGTTCTGTGAAGCGCTTTGGGACGTCCTCCCGACGTGAAAAGCGCTATATCAAATGCAAGGATTATTATTATTATTATAGCACCTTATCACGTCTTTGAGATGTGTCAAAGAGCTTCACAGAATATACTGTAACATGAATTGACTATAAACAAGAACAACAAAATTACATTTATAGAGCGCTTTTCACGTCGGGAGGACGTGAAAATGGGACGTGAAATCAGAAAATGGGAGTAACTTAACTCAAAATACTTGTCCAAACAATGCGCAATATATTCTTAGACATTAAAATGGTCGGCAATCCCTTCAAAAAATCCTTTCACGCCTTTAATCTACTTACCTGTCTACTTTGGAGTCCTGTAGTTCAGTGGTTAGAGCATTCGCCTTGCAAGCAAGACACCTGGGTTCAATTTTTGGGCAGGTTTCCTTACTCCACACGCCTAATAATAATAATCCCTCCAAAAACAAAAACAATAATAAATTGGTCATTTTCAATCCACGACTGTTTGTGGGACGCTGCTGTGCACAATTGGCTGTTGCGTTTCGCCCACAAATATGCATTCAATTCACTTTACAGCATATTCTGTGAAGTGCTTCGAGACGTCTAGAAGACGTGAAAAGAGCTATAACAAATGCAAGGATTATTATTATTATTGCATTTTGAGGGCGAAACCCGGCACACAGCAGCATCCCACAAAAAGATCTGTAATATTGTTTTACTGGACTGTCGGTGCTTATTGGAGTCCTGTAGCTCAGTGCTTAGAGCACTCGCCTTGCAAGCGAGACACCTGTGTTCAATCCAGGCAGAGGGCGAAACCTTGGGCAAGTTTCCTTACTCCACACAGAGCCTAATAATAATCCCTCCAAAGCAAAACAATGATAAATTGGTCATTTTCAATCCATGACTGTTTGTGGGACACTGCTGTGTGCAATTGGCTGCCGCGTTCGCCCACAAATATACAGTCAATTCACTTTACAGTATATTCTGTGAAGCGCTTTGAGATGTCGAGAAGACGTGATAAGGCGCTATATCAAATGCAGGGATTATTATTATTATCCAGGGTTGGCTCCATTCTGACATTCCATTACCAGGCATGTCACCTTGGAGGCAGTTCAGCTGCAAGGAGACCCCACTTACCTCCCCCCACCCCCCCGGAGGATAATTTCATCCAAAGCGTGATATCAAACAGTCGATCAGTACAAACAATATGCCAAGTCGTTGCCAAGTACGATTGACTGACTGTTACATCAAGCTCTTGATAAAACAACTTTCTGCAGCTGAACATCAACACGACTGCAGCCATTGTATTTAGTTCTTGCCAGCACCTGTGGGCCTCTAGCTCTGACTCGGGCTTCCGGTCA